TATGTATATTCTGCGGGGACACTGGGGAGGGGAGGTGTGGAGAGGGGGACATATCTAAATTCCATAAAACTCTATCATATGAAAATAGCAAAAAATCAATTAAAAATCACTATAAGATAAATCAAAAAAAGAGAATAGAATATATGTCTGAGAGATGTTTAGCCTTAAGTGAAACATCTACATCTACAGTGGAGCCTTTACACATAAGGCTTATGGTGTTTCACATAATGAAACATGGTGTTCCCTATATGTTAAATATAGTGAAACATGGGGTAGATGGGGTAGAGAGAATACTGATATATCCCTCAAATCTCACCACCAAAGCTTCTCATAGTACAGAGTGTTATGCATACAGAAGGCCACAACTTGATAAGTTCAAAGATAAAGATACTTCTGAGTGGAAAGAATTCCTATATTTAACTTCACAAACGCACAGCTAATTGACCATTGCCAAACAGGGGTAGAAAGATTGCAAGAGCAAGATAAACAGAGGATTTCAGGCCACTGGGAACTTGTTCTTATGAACTTACTACAGTGGTGCAGCTTGTACAAGACCCATACTTTCTCAATCAAATCAAATACAAGCATAGAATGAGGGAAATGAGCACCAGGCCCAAGCATAGACAATGAACTGTCTAAGGAAATTACTCTAAATAGACTGGCTAGACTTTAGTAGAGTTCATCTGCTTCTACATGACTTGCATCACTATAATTACATATTTTATGATCCCTTGTGAGATCCATGTCAGCTTTGCCACTAGCTCCCTTGCCTTTCCCAAACTCCCACGGTTTGGGTTTGTCATTTCTAGTGCCATGCTGCTGACTACCCCAATTTATTACACTAAATTTTCCCCTTCCTGCTCTCTGTTTGAATGGCCCTCACTCTCTCAGGGTCTTGTACTGAGGCAGGTCAATAAGCTAAACTGGTATAACATATTTTTATCTTGGTTTTCACATGGTTTATATCATAGGGAGAGCGTGACTTACAAAGAGATTGCATCATTCCAGTCCTGCCCACAGTCTCCCTTAGCTTTCTTCTGTATCTGGTGGGTGTGTGGTTTCATCTCATGGTCTGTGGATGAAACATCTGCTTCCACACCTGCAGGATGCCTCCACCATTCACCCTGGCTACCACAAACTTCCTTTATCCATTCCAATCTCACTGCAGTCCTAACTCTCTGTAGTTAACTCACAACAGTGGGCTCCATCCCTGGCTGGCTTACACTTTTCTGAGGAATAAATGATTTTCGGGATACAACAACTATCAGAATTTGTATATTTATAAAGCAGGCAAAATGGATCCTAATATTTTAGGATGCCAGGTATGACACTCATTAAATATGTAATTATTCCAGAAAAAGTATTGTTAAAATTGTTTCTTAAATGTGATTGATAGTATGTTTATAAAAATATCCTTCCAGGTAGCAGCTCTGATCACAGCAGACCACCAGAGAGTGCTGAGTTGTGTCCTCCCTCAGGCAGAGGGCCTGAGAATGTGGGGGACTGCCTGAGAGGCCCTGGATCCTGCCTCCATGTGGTGAAGGAAGCCTGAGTGTACCTGAATGGAACCTGAATTGGACTTCTGTGGGTACCCCTGAAGAGCTTCTCTGAAGCCATCAGTTCTGTCCAAAATAAACCTGAGAGAACCTGAACTCTGTACCATCCAGCATTACATAAGCAATAATGAAAGGATCTAGGCACCAATACAAACAGAAGCATACTTCAACTTAATTCTCATATCATAATCATAAACAACAAAACAAATTAACATGCCAAAACAACAATGAAAGAATAATAAAATGGAAAGTCAAAACACTATGTCTTCACCGAAGCCCACCAATCCTATAGAAGAGTTTTACAAGGTGAACCACCTAGAGATAAGCCAGGACACTGAAATTAAAGGAACAATCATACACTTGATGAAGGAATTCAATGAATCTAAGGAACACATGAACAAACCAATCAAAGAACTAAAAGAAGATAGGGAAAAACTTCTGAATGAATTCCCAAAAGAGATAGAAACATTGACAAAAACTCAGGCAGAAATGAAGAAGGAAATGCAAAACACAATAAGCCATCTTGAAACAACAGGGGAAAGCCTCACCTCTAGAATGAATGAAATGGAAAACAATATCAACAGTGGAGGATAAAGTTGAAGAATTGGACCAATCAAACAAAGAGTATGGAAAGATTTTAAAAACACAGGAATGGAATATGCAAGGTATGTGGGACACCATGAAAAGATCAAATCTACAGATCATAGGAAGGAGAAGAATTTCAGGTTAATGATGTTGACCAGATCTTAAACAGGATTGTAGAAGAGAATTTCCTGAAATTAAGGAAAGACATCATCAAATGAATATAGGAAGCACATAGATCATCAAATAGGATCAGAAAAGAAGCTCCCCATGACATATCATAGTAAAAACACTAAGTGTACAGAACAAAGAGAAAATACTGAAAGCAGCAAAAGGAAAACAAAGTCACATACAAAGGAAAGCCTATCAGAATTACAAATAACTTATCAACTATGAAAACTATGAAAGCCAGAAGAGCCTGGATTAAGTTATTTCCAGTTGTACATGACAATAGATGCCATCCCAGAATAATTTACCCGCCAAAATGTTTATTATAGTTTAAGGCAAAAGAAAAATCTTCCATTACACGAATAACCTGAAAAAATACAAGTAAAAAAACCCCAGCCATTCAAAGAATACTTGAAGCAATACAGAGAGCAGAGAGAAACAACTTGTACTCAAGGGGAACAAAAGTAAATAAATAAAGGTATAATCTAGGAAACACAAAATTAGACACAGCAATCAAAATGATGACAACCTATACACATCTTTCATAATAACCTTAAATATCAATGGACCGAACTCCCCAGTCAAAAGCAAAGGCTAAATGAATGGATTAAGAAACAAAATCCATCTCTTTGCTGTCTGCAAGAAACCCATCTCACCTTCAAGGACACACACTATCTTAATGTAAAAGGATGGAAAAGAATATTGCCAGCAAATGGCACTAAGAAACAAGCAGGGGGTTGCAATTCTAATATTTGACAAAATGGACTTCAAAGTAAAACTAATCTGAAGAGATAAGGAGGGTCACTTCATTCTTATCAAAGAACAAGTTAACCAAGAAGATATTACAATCCTTAACATATATGCACCACACTATACTACACTCAAATTCATAAAAACAACACTACAGGACATTAAGACACATATTAACCCTAGCTCAGTAATAGTAAGGGACTTCAATACCCCATTTTATCCATTAGACAGGTCAATCAGACAATGAATAAACAAAGAGATGCCTGAATTAAATGGTACCATACATCAAATGGACTTAACAGACATCTTTCGAGTATTCCACCCAAGCATCAAGAATACACATTCTACTCAGCACCCCATGAAACTTTGTCAAAAATTCACCACGTACTGGGCCACAAAACAAACCTCAATAAATACAAAATGTGAAATAATTCCATACATTCTGTTAGACCACAATGCAATAAAGCTGAAAATCAACACTGGACAAAGTGCTAGGCACTACATGAACTCGTGGCAATTGAACAACACACTCCTAAACAATGAGTGGGTGAAAAGAGGAATTAAGAAAGAAATAAAAGATTTCCTAGAATTCAATGAAAAAGGCAATACAAAACCTCTGGGGCACATTAAAAGCAGTCCTAAGAGGGAAGTTTATAGCTCCAAGTACCTACATTAAAAATTAGAAAGAGCCCAAATAAATGACCTAAAACTGCAACTGAAGACACTGGAAAGGCAAGAACAAATGGGACCCAAATCCAGCAGAAGAGAAGTAACAAAAATCACAGCAGAAATTAATGAAATAGAAACAATGAAAACAATACAATGAATCAATGA